TTTGACAGAACAGTTCTATAGGACTCGAGTCGGGGACCGATTTTGGTTCGAGAATCAACACAATGGATTCACTTTAGGTAATTACGCGGAATTAATTCAAATTTGAGATAATTAATTGTAATTACAGCACAATTAAACGCAATTCGGAAAACGAGCATTTCGAGGTTATTATGCGACAATGGACACCATATTCAAGCCATGCAACCTCGAGGCTTCGAGAGAATATCTCACGAGTGAGATAGTTTTTTTTTCTATTACATCATAATTAATTTAATTGTTTCAGTAATCCGATTATGCCGTGTGAAAATCTACCAGCTGTTGACCTCACTTTGTGGAAGGAAGTTCCGTTTGGTGTGGAACGGCCTTATGATTTTTCAGATGAATTTTTTTGGAAGAAAAAATGATTGAAATTTTGTTGAAAATGTATTGTTTTGTGCCTAAATATTTTAATTTGTTGTATATTTTTTAGTTAAGTTCATGTTAATATTAAGTTTTATTAAGTATAGGTGCACTTTTATTTATGTTTTATCGAATTTGTATATTTATGATAGTATTAATAAAAGTTCTATTTTCGTACAAACTGCGTTTTTATCAAAAAATTGCGTTATTTTCCTGTGTTGATTGATCAAAAATCAAAAAACGAAAAATTCACAAAATTTGAGAGATTTTGCCACAACATGGTAAAAAATTGCAAAAGTAAGTAGAAAAGTCTTTCAGTTTAAAGCATTTTTACTAAGAACAGCTGTAAAAATTGTAAAATCATCAAAATTAGGCTTAAAAATTCAATAAGAAAAACGCAAAATACGATCTATTTTACAAAAAAAAGAATACAAATTGCAAAACGAAGATTAAATGCGTTACTTTCTTTTCTTTGTTAAAAAGGCAAAAGATAGGTCAAGAATTGTTTTTTTTTCGCCAATTTTGATATCTTTAGAGTGTTTTCCAATAAAAAACTCACAAAATTTTACAGATTTCGTCAAAACAAAGCAAAAAAGTGCAAAAACGTAACCAAAATGCGTA